CACAATCGTAGATCATGTCAAAATCTAACAAATGTGAAAAGAAACCAAAAAAGAAACAGAAGTTGGAAGACATATTAAACCAGATTATTTGATATTTTTTGTTTTAGAATATTTTTCAATTCAAATATTCTAAGCAAAATTTTAATTTTGAAATTTATTATGTATGTGACTTTGTTAAAAAAAAGTGAGGATGAATTTTGATGGAGATGAATTTCTTAAAAAAAAAGTTTGTTATGTGTATGTTTATGTGACAGTGAATATCATACTTCATTGACATTGGATCCATGGTTAGAAGCATTGTTACTTAATAAATCAATTAGTTTTTAGTATCATCCGCTCAGCTTTTCAGCATGAATACAAAATATCGAACTACCACAATCAGTGATATAATGTTACTTTTTTTAAAAAGTCACTTTTTTGTTAAAAAGGTGACAATAGGGTGACAATATGTCCCTTTTTTGACATGTTAAAAGCTACATGTTATAGTTAGGTAATATATTGCAATTCTTGAACACTAGTACTAATATTGAAAAATTACATCAACAATATCCCCACTCTATTGATATTGTAAAGAAACATGTTCAAAACTTTACAAAACACATCTTTAAAAAAGCATACTTAATAAAATACGTCAATTTATGTCACTTATTTGGATAACTGGTTATGCCATGTCTTGTTAAACCAGATGATATAGTGTACTTTGACCTTGAAGTAGTAGGATATGTTCGACATGGATTATGTCAAGTGACATACAAGCGACTAGTATGTTAAAAAAAAGTGGCAATGTCACCGTTTTAATTGTCACTTTTTATTAAAAAGGTGACATTATGTCATTTTTTATTATACAAGCTGCTAGCATGTTAGAAGCTACAAATATGTTATAGTTAGATACTAGTACTAATATTGATCAGCTACATTACCAACATCCCTGATCCATTGATATTACAATGAAAACATGTCCAAAACATCAGAAATTAACAAGTGAAGTTGTCGTGCCACTATTAACATTGTCACTTTTTTGTCTAATCAGTCATTATATACATCAACTACCAACCAATTTATGTACATCCACCACATATTCTAACTAAATCAATCATTACATAATAAGACATGTCCGCTTTTTCAAAATCACCTTCTTCTCTATGACA